TAGTAGGCACTTTATAGATACAAGGTATACAGCAGTGAAAATTAGACTCATTTCTCTTAAAGTTCATAGACTAGCATAAAAAATAATAATAAAAAGCATTCAGTACTATAATAGATATATGCAAAAGTTTTATGTGAACAAAACCAAAAAAAAAAAAAATTAGCAAAAAAGATGTGGACAGACATCTGAAAGGAAGGAATCTGAAAGGAAGGCATCTGAAAGGAAGGAATGAACTAAATGTTGAAAAATAGAACAATCAGAGGTGAAGGGGAAATAATTTTCCAGGCAGAGGTAATGGCTTGTGCAATGAAGTGTCAAGACATTATGTCATGGTGGATTGAGAGGAGTGAAAATTAATTGTTAAATTGGAGATGGGATGACATTGGGGTATGTGGAAGATGAAAGCAGAGCAAAGGGTGGGCTAGGTTTTAACTAGCTCTGCCTGTAATAAGAGGTTTATTACATTCCTTTCTCAAAATTATACAGGGATTTAGCTTGATGGGAGTGGTGTTCTGGAACGGGAACAGTGAGTGATGGATTGAGGGATTAAGAATGGAAAAAGAAGAGTTCCTTTAGAACAATGGACAATTAAAAATAGGATTGGGTGGTACCATTGTCCTTCATGATACCCCGGGGTTTCCAAGAACCAATGTCTATTATTGATGGCTCCTAATTTTTTTCTAAAGTAGATACATAATCTACAGGGGCTGTGAGTATGAAATGTACATATGTATGCATAGTTGTGTTTTTGATAAGCTATTGATTTTATAATAGTTTAATGTTTTCAAAAGAGTTGCAATGATATTGCTGAGTGTTGTCATATACCTTTCACCTGGTTCTCCCAATGCAACATATTACTATGCTTATTGACCACAAGTAAGAAACCCATATTTGTATATTAATATTAACTAAAATTCACACTTTATTTAGATATCACTAGTTGTTTTTGTTTTGTTTGTTTTTTTTCCTCATGTCCTTTTTCTGTTTTAGGATCCCATCCAGGCAGGGTGCAGCATATATTTAGACTTTATATTTTTTAGCCTTCTCTGCTCTATAATAGTTTCTCATATGGTCTTTGCATTTCATGACCTTTGTAGTTTTGAGGATTACTGGTTAGATTTTTGTAAATTTTCCCCCAGTTTGGGTTTGACACATGTCTTTTCTCATGGTTGGATAGGGGTTAGAGGGTTTTGGGATGAAGACTACCGTGGTCAAGGGCCATTCTCATCATATCTTATCAACATGACTTATCACTAGTGATTTTAACTTTGATCTGAGATAGTGTTAGCCATGTTCTTTACTCTAAAATTGTCCCTTTTCCATACTCTGCAACACTCAAAGGCTCGGTGGTGGGTGATTAAGGTCCATTTCTTGCAGGGGATGATATCTACATATATTATTTGAAATTCTTTAAGAGAATTGGTCTCCCGTTTATTTGTCCTTATTTATTTAATTATTCAACTATTATGTTAATATGGACTGGTCTCAACGATATTTATTTCATAGTTTGGGTCATAAAACCGTCACATATTATATATATTGTTCTTCAAATTGTTCCAGATTTGGGGCATTGGGAGCTCTTTCAGGTTGCTGCCAATGTCTCTTTGACATACTCCATCCTTTTAATATTTGAGGACTTCTGTAGCTATGTTTTGAATACAAAAATTGTAGCATTTAGGTAGTTTATCTAAATAAAGTTGGAAAAATCAGAAATGTTAATCCTGACACTGTTATATATGTTATATAACATCTATGAGTTTAAATACATTTTATTATTAATATTTACAAAGTGGAGAGACTGTTATCCTTAAGGCATTATACTAAGATATGTAATCAAAGATGGAATCATACATTGCACTATATAATAAATGAGTGTCACTTGAAATGGCACTCTACCAACTACAGCTCTTTCTGGGTGGATGAAGTTAAGCTGAAAATTGGCCTAAAAATGCAAGTAATATGCTTAGAAATATTAGAAAGTTGAATTCTTATCTTTAACTTCTTTAAATGGACCGTCTACTGCCCTAATTTTCATAGCAACATGGAAGAAAAACACACTGAGCTTAATTTTCCTTTTCATTTCACAAACCACTTTTCAAAGATATGACCCATCTATTATTTTTTCTAAAATACATTGTTACCTTGGTAACTGCCAAGTCATGGGCTTTATGTAACAATGTTGATAAGAATCTTACAAACGAATCAAAGAAAATGAAGAAACCTGAAGTCTCCTCTTTGATTTTGATGTCCAGAAAGACTTGTTATAGACTATTAACCATCACAGACACTTAAACCATCTCTCTTATGCAACCAGGCTAACTTACAATCCCTGCCTTTCATTTACCACCTTGCAAAGTTTCCTGATGCCCCCATCCAAAAATATTTAGCTGTTTGCCATGCATTCCCAATGTTCATTTTCTTGCTTAGTACATTTTTGTGTGTACCCTTGAAAAAGTGGCATGACGTTGTAAAGGGAAATTATTCTAGCAATAAGATAGGTGTGAATATGCATTTTACTTAAAATTTCCCATGATCTGTAACTTTGGATGTGCTGCCTTAATACAGGAAAGACACAAGGGAAACCATGATGAAGATCACAATAAACTGCGGTCGGGTGTCTGGATTGGAGCCCCAATCTGGTAATGTTTAATACCGTGTGATGTGGTAAGATCCTTTGAGATTAATTTTTGTAGACTTTAAAATAGATGATTTAAGTATATCATCTCTCAGTTTTCTTCTACTTCTGAATTCGTTGATGTGCTGGTAGAATTTTTCCTTTGATAATACCTCAGGTAATTAATTCACTAACTTCCTTGATTTCCCTAGAGTAACTTCAAATACAGCTACATCCTTTCTTGGAGGCATTCCCTCCCAAAATGCAACTACCAGCAATTTGAGGTACTTTAATCAAAGAGAAATACGTAAGTCAGGAGAGAATAAATATTTCTGAGATTATTATTTTAATCAGCTGTATATCCTACTTTGTACAGGATGACAAAGGGCTGTATTAATGCTGCTCTTTCTTAAGAAGGGAGGGTGAACAGTGTCCCTTTTCTCCATTGCGGGCCCTGTTTTCCCTCCACTTAATACTCTGAAGCCTTAGTCCAGTCTTGACCTATGCAGCTGTGAAATAGACAGTAATTTTTTTCTGCATTTAGTTTCCAGACTTACAGCACAAGCTATAGGAGATGAAAACATTTGTATTTCTTTTCCACATATAAGGGTTAAAACTGTTACGGATTGAATTTTTCCCTTCCTTCTCAAATCCACGTGTTGAAATCTTAGCCCCTAATATCGTAGAATGTGACTTTATTTGGATATAGGGCCATTACAATTAGTTTGCAATTAGTTACGATGTGGTCATACTGGAGTAGGGTGGGCCCCTAATCCAATATGGCAAATATCCTCTCAAAAAAGAGAAACATGGACAGAGAAACAGGAAGAATGTCATGTGAAGATTAGAGTTATGCTGTCACAAGCCCAGGAAAAACCAGAACCCAGGAGAGAGGACTAGGATAGACCCTTTCTTAGTGCCGTCAGAGGATCATGACTCTCAAGGCAACACCTTGATTTTGACTTCTGGTCTGGAGAACTGTGAGATGATAAATTTCTGTTTTTCTAAGTCACCCAGTTTGTAGTATCTTCTTATGGCAGCTGTAGAAAATGAATGGAAGCTTTAGCGCAGGTCTTTTTGGAGTGGGAGTTTGGGGGTGGATTCCTGTTAAGATTTATTCCTAACAACATTAGGACCATCACTGGCTTACAGATTTGTTTTTCCTATGCTGCTGCTTGGATTAGCACATACGCCCGTATATTTTTCTATTGGTTATGAGACATCTGGTTTCCAGTATTTGGCTTTGTCACTTACGAGCTATGTAATTAACCTCACCGATCTTCAGTTCTCTAATAATGATAATAGTTAATCTAGAGAACCATGGGCTTATTGATGAGGATCAAAGGAGATAACAAGTGAAAACCAATATGGAGACATGAAGAAGAGTATTTGAGTATAGAGGTTAACACCAGGGGCCTGGAGCCCAGCTGCTTGAGTTCAAGTTCTACCCCTCCCTTTACTAGACATGTGACTGAACTACAGACTCAGTTCTACTATTTTAAAGAGAAAGTTATAATGGTTCCTGTGTAAGTTATTATGTAAAGAGGTCTTTCCCAAAAGATTGTGTGACACACAGAAAGTACTCATTAAATTTATCTAATACAAGTACCTTGCAAGCTTTATAGAATCATGCAAAGGTGTGGTTATTATAATTTATAGTTAGTAAATAGCTTATTGATTTTGAACATCCATATTGAGTGTATATCGATATTGATTTTTACACAATGGCTCTGAATTCCTAACTCATTGTTCAACATGTATTTCAGCATCATGTATTTCAATAGCCGAGAAGAGCTAAGTAAGGGTGATCATAGAAAAAGGATATCACAGATAGATCAGGGTTGCCCAGTGATTCAGAAGAACTTTAGAACCAGAGACTATTTCTGGTATTTATTATTCTTGCCATTTCCTTGTGTGAGAATATTTTAGAGCCAAACATTTTGAGTATGATAATACTTGATCTGATATGATAACAAGAAGCAAAGGATTCACGTAGCTTTTACTTGGGAGTTGATTTTTTTCATTGGTTTTTAAAAGCTTCTAATGAAATCTTTGTTTGCATATATTTGAATTGACATACTTTGTTTATACATCACCCTCCTGGGTGAAAGTAAACAAAAAATAGCCAACCACTTTCTCACATTGATTCGTATACCTCAAGTTGAGATTTTGGATGAAATAAAAGACTGTTATTGGAAAACATCACTTGTTTCATGCATGTCTGGCCTTACAGAGGAGAAGGAAACATTTTCGTGTCTGGTCGTACTAAAGAGAAAGAAGTATTTTAGTAAAACACCTTCTATTAGTTTATTCAGAGGAAATAGAAACAGCTGAGACTTAAAAAATGAATTAGAGTATCATGTTTATTCCATTTCATGCAACTTACCCAGGAAGTATATATCTGCAAGACAGATTGTCTCAGTGCTGTGGATAAGTTATAGTCTTCAGAACTGTGGTGTGTTTGGTGTCCAGCCCACATAATATTAACCTCTGCAAAACACATAATTTGAAAAGAGGCATGAAAATAAGAACAAAGCAACTTCCATGTTAGTTATGAATGCTGCCCTGTTGAGTGAGGAAGAAAAATCTGGAAAATCTATGAAAAAGCTGGCCAATACAATTATAATTAAAACAAGCCACCTAAAATCATTTTTGAAACTGGGAAACCTATAAATTATAGATAAATAAAAATAAAACCATAGCCAATAAATATGTACAGTGTATCTAATATAATTAAATGCCTCCAGTGAACTGAAATGTCGTCCAAAGTTTACATTTTGCTAACATATTACAATATGACAGATAATAAAAGCTAACTGGTAATGTTATAACAATACAGTCAATGAATAGTGATGATTTTTCAGTATGTGATAACATATTTTTAATTAAAGATGAATTCTCTGATGGGAGAAATTGGTATATAAATTTTGAAATGAAATATCACATAATATTATTTCCTGATGGCTTTTTGAGAAGTCTCAAAATATATCTGTTATAATAAGAAACAAAACAGTAATATTTTTTCCTGAGATTTAAAGTTTTATTTTAATTTACAGAAATATATTAGCTGATACTTAGGTATGGTTCTTCCCATACTTTACCAAAATGCTGTGCAATTTCTAAATTTTCCCACATTGCTGTTTGTGCTCATAATAAAAAAGGAAATAAAAGTTGTTTATTTTCATAGAGCATTGCAAAGATTGCCCTCATATTGCCTTGCAATTCATCTTGTAACTCATACAGGACCAAAAGGAGTGTGTGTGTGTGTGTGTGTGTGTGTGTGTGTGTGTGTGTGTGTGTGTTTAACAACAAATATGACACTATAATGACTCCCTAAGTAGACAGAAGAGTACAAATAATTTTTTATTCTGCTCACATTTTTTCATTCTGTTGATATTTTTCATTTCCTAACAGAATTACAAATCAAAATGCCACATTATATTCTATTAAGGTAAGAAAATATATGTTTGTAGCTAAACTGACTGATGTTTACTCTTTTGCTACAAATTTAAGTGAAGGAAGTAACTATGTGATATGATCACATAGTGGTGGTATAGATTAGAAATTAAATCTTTTAGGCTTGAATGTAGGGGAACTAAACAGTGGATCTAAGCCTGGAAATATCATGTTAGTGGTCTTTGCAGTTGCCTTATACTAACAGTTAAAATACATGGTATGTGGCAGGGTAATTTGTTAAAAGTTTTTATGAAAATCATGGATATATGCATAGACATTCAATCTGAGTGGACTTCTTGGTCATTCCTTTAGAAAATGAAAGCTCTTTGGACAGTCTGTTTAGGAAATTACTAATAAAATTTGCAAAATCAAAAAGGTCTTTGTATGCAAATGATAGCTCCTAGATAAAAAAAAAAAAGAATTCATTCTATAGTAAGAAGATTATGAACAGCATTATAAATAGACCTATTATGAATAAATATCAAATATTTCTATTAAAGTGGTATATTTTCAACTGGGGCAAGTATTGCCATAAACTATCAGCTGATTTGTAACTTAGATTCTGTTTGGTTGATATTTTAATCATTTCTAAGAATAACACTATATTTCTATGCTAGCAATTAAGGAAATTATTCTTACACAAATGAGAACTACTTCACTGTAATGACCTCTAAAATTACCTGGGCATAATCTTTTAAATAACCTACAACCTAAATCTGTCATTCATTGATAAGCGTACATAACTATATATTAAAAATATATAAAAAACTCCTGGGGTCTGTAGTGCTCTATATCTTTGGATGTTGTATGGAAGTTAATTAAGAGGTAATAAATTTGATGAATCTCTAAATTTTTTAAACTACTTAAAGATAGAGCCCTTGAAAAGAATCTAAACACCATTTCCTCTTTAGAACATATCCATTATTAAACATTTTATAACCTATGACTTGTAAACCTTTATTACACATCAATTTATTGTCTATATTTTTTGACCTTTCAAGATTTATTTTTAAAAATTTATCGTAATGAACGCATAAAATGACTTCACAAGGGGATAACCTGATCAGATGGGGTTTAATTAGAAAGTAATAATATATATTAGAGTTACTTCCTTGTAACCTCGACAGAAGCTAAATTGTGAACAAAGAATCCACAAAGGTGGAGGTTAAAGATCTGTCTCTTTAGTTGTTTTAAAAGCATTTACTTCCTATCACAAACTGTGTGTAACACAAGCCTTCATTCAATGAAGTGCAGCTGTATAAACAGGGCAGCGTAACGGGATCCTACTGGCTTACTTCTGCCACTTTTCAGAATTGGGAAAAACAAGAAGGACACTGGATTTTTATCCACAGTCTATATCCAGCTTATTGGAAGTTAATTCTTTACAAAAGCGGTTATAAATATGCATTTCACAGAAAATTATTTCAATAGTTCTTTTGTGAAGGAGATGGAAAAAAGTTAATAGTGCATGTATATGTTCACCTTCCCTACTATTTGAATTGATGAATTATCTGTTCTAAGGAATGAAAACAAATAATAAGGAGGAACAAATATATCATTTAGAAAAAGCTTCTTTCTATGAAAGACAATATAATTATAGATTCTTTTCAATAATAATGTTTTTCTTTTCTTGTGAGCAAATCATGGATTATGTATGTATATGGTATGTTGTTACAGCTTTTCAATGATACAATTGGAAACGATTGTGCTGCTTTCTAGCACCAAAAGTTAGATCTGTATGAATATATTTTTTTAATGTATTGCCCAATAATGCCATTCATCTGGCCAACATTTTTAATGCAATATGTGTTGTTTAATGTAATATGAGTATTTGTGTGTGTGTGTTGTATTTTGAGTTTATTAACTTAAAAAATTTTATAATGAAGGTATAACTTCCATACAGTAAAATCCATCCCTTTTGATGTCCTGTTCTATGAGGTATTTTTTGTTTTTTTTAACAAATATGACTGTGTAATCACTACCACGATCAAGATACAGAGCAGTTTCGTTACCTCAAAGAGTTCTCCCATCCCTCTTTGAGGTTGGTGTAGGCAGATTCTGCTTCAGATGATTAGATTCTGGACTCTGAATTGGTAACGCAACAGAAGGAAACTTTGAGAACCTGGGGAGAGGTGGGTGTCTTTTAAATGTGAAGGAAATATGAATCACTGTGGTACAGAATGCTGTCCCTGGGCGGCACCCTCTAAGACACCCTCCAGTGATTCTTGTCCACTGGTATTCATACCTTTTATAATCCTTTCTCTTTGAGTGTGAGCTGGATTTAGTGACTCCCTTCTAGTAAACAGAACTTTTGCAAAGATGATGGGATTTCACTTCTGATATTAGATTATAAAAAGATGATAGCTTGTGTCTCAGGTGCTTTCTCTTATTGTCTCACATTCTCAGTCTGAAAAACCCCAGTTGCCATGTTGTGGGCTGCCCTTTGGAGAAGTATATATGACAGGGAACTGGGAAAGGCCTCTGGCTAACCAGCCAGTGAGAAATTAAGCACCCCAGTCCAAGTCCCACAAAGAACTGAATCCTGCCAACAACCATACAAGTGAGCTTGGAAGCAGATCCTCCCCTATTTGAGCCTTCAGATGACACTGCAACTTAAAAACAGCTGAACTGAGTAACTGTAACCTTGTGAAAGATCTTGAGCCAGAGGCATTCATCTACGCCATGCTTCAATTTTTGACCCACAGAAACTATGAGATAATAAATGCTTCTAGTTTTAAGCTCCTTTTTGTTACAAAGCAATAGATAATTAATACAATGTTCAACCATCCCCAACTCCCTCCCCCGACCCCATGAGTCTCAAACATAAAATAATTACTTGTTTTCTTTCCTTATAGTTTTGCCTTTTTGAGAGTAATCTATAGATGAAATCATACAATATTTATGCTTCTGAGTCTGACTTCTTTCACTTACCATAATGCATTAGAGATTCCTTGATTTTGCTGTTTATGAATAGCTTGTTCCTTTGTATTATTAAGTAGTAATCCATTTGTATGAATGTATCATGGTTTAGTTTTGTTTTTATCTATTCACCAGTTGAAGAACTTTTCAATTGTGTCTAGTTTTTGCAAATTACAAAGAAAGCTCCTATCAACATTATCATAGAAGTTTTCTATGAACATAATTTTTTTTTTTTTTGCAATCATACAATAGGAGGTTTATTTTCTGGCTAGCCAAGGTCCAAGCCCCAGAGCACCAACGCAGTGGCCACTCTCGCAGGCAAGGACCCCGACCGGAACAACGGCATGCCTTTTATCCCCATGGTGCACAAGCTGCGCACAAGCCGACTACGCATGGATCATGTGTTGACCTTTAAAATGATTGGTTGCCCACTATTGCCTTTTGAAATAATTGGCGGGTTGGTTGCCCTCTATTGCCTGATGGGCCAGTTGCCTGTGCTTCAATGACCTCATCCCATAATTCCCCTTACAGTGGTGTAGCAAGCAAGCAATGACCAGAAGCAAAGGTTTGCGGTTAGCTCATTGCCCCACCCAAGTAAATTCCCGACAATTGGAAGAATTCCTCTGCCCTTCCTCTGTCCTACAAATTCCTCTGCCCTACATTCCCCCCCTTTCTCTAGGTAGCAGACGAGCACTTTTGCTCGTCCTCAAGGTCTCTTAGGTGCTCTAGTTCTATAGCACTTGACCATAGCTGCTGATATTGTTGTTGCAATACTAGATTACTGTATAATGGTGTTAGTGTTCCCAAAAATAATATACCACACTGAGGAGACAATGTATGAGGGCATAGTAGGGTGAAGAGTCACCAACCTAATTTTTAAAAGAAAAAGAGAGCCCATCACAGCCATAACCTTGGCTACTCTTTTTGGCTTAGGGACAATAGGAGCAGGAACTAGTATCTCTTCTCTGGCAATGCAGCAAAGAGGGTTTAATACTCTGAGGGCAGCTGTTGATGAAGATATTGCAAGGATAGAAGATTCAATTTCACACCTAGAAAAGTCACTAACCTCCCTATCTGAGGTAGTGCTCCAGAACCAGAGGGGGTTAGATCTAGTA